AAATTGTCTAAAAAATGTACTGTTAAAAACGGGCAGGATTGTTTCTGCATAGGCTGATAAACAGTACTTGACTTATCCCAAACAATTCTACCACCCACCTTCCTCCAGGCTACAAGTGAGATGTCATGGCAAAGTGACAAATGTTCCCTCTTTAATACTTGTTCATGATGAACTGCTTCACATTTCCTTCTGAGGAAAAGTAAAATTCTGAAGTATGGTAATTCCCTAATGTTTTCTACATTTCATAGGAGAAAAACATTGATATTTTATAATCTTCTCTTTGAAAATGCTAGAGTTGAAATACGACATGTTATACCACATCCATACTTCTCCTGGGGAAAATCTCCACTTATGCAGAGCTTCTAGATCACAAAACAAGGTACACAGATTGTATAATGTTAGTACCGTAGGAATATGCGATATTGCAAGGGATGTTACAATTCTTCTACAGTGTACTTGGGATATGTGAGTTGTAACAAATAGTTAAACCAAGCTGTGTTTGCATAGTCTGGGTATAGAGGTGGTCATTTACATGGGCAGAGCCTACTTACATTGCTATGGGAGCTTTTTAATAGATCATAGATTCCAGTTTATCCAGTGTGCATGACACACAGCTAGGTAGGTTAAGACCAGAACAATTAGGCAAGGAAATGTATCTCTGGGAAGATGTCAGTTATTTCAACAATGTACAAGTTTCTTGTTGGTGGATTTTTCCCATACAAACATAGCATTGCAAAAATCCTTTAATTAGAAACTGATTTTTAAAATCATGTTTCATTTTCAGTGTCTAGGGTTTTTTACAGATTTTTCTTGATTTTATTTTTTTTAAACTTTCTTTCCTTTTAAGTCTTAATCCTGTCCCTTAGCGCTGTTATTGTCTTTGATTTTAGGAGAGTTTTCCTTGCCTCTGCACCCATCAATGCCATTTCCTGCTTTGAAAGTGCATAATAGTTATCTGCTCTTGGAATACAAAGTTATCAGCAGCTGTAGTTGCTTTTGAGCGCACATCTTATGGTAATATCATAATTCTTGTACTGGTGAGAAAGTAATGTAGGACTTTGCCTTGGTCAAAATACAAAGCATCTACTGTTTATTTCTCACTAGCAGGGGCTTTACAATGCCAGTGACCTAATATGATTTAGAAAAATCCAAATATTAGTAACCTTTGGCTTTTAAGTGGTCAGAAACAGTGTGTTACAATTAATCTAGATGGTAGGTCTAGGAAGATTAGAATACAGGTTATTTCAGCTTTTTAGCTTTTCACCTTTTCTGATCTTCCCCTTGCTGTAGTCTTCTGAGGCTCCTCTGCCTTATGTGATTTTTTTTTAATAACTGCCCATGTTTGAAAAGTTACTTGAATGTATATTTCTTCCCTGTATAACTTGCTCTTCAGGTAACTTACACCTTTTTAAACATCATGCAGATAATCCAATACTTTTGATAATTCTTGCCAGTTAGATACTAGCTAACTCTGTAATACAGATAGAGGAGAAAGAGGAGTACCAGAGTACCAGAACAAAAAATCCATCATAGTACTTACACATGCATATAACTCAAGTGCTAAGGAACCAGGAGTTATTCTTTCGTTTGGTGACACTTTTTATTTTTTTTAAGGAATAAACAGTTTACCTGCATGAAAACACAATAATTCCTTAAGCATCCTGTGCTGAATGTCATCAGGCCTCTACCCTGAACTGTGTGACCTCATGTAAATATTTCTCTTCCTGTGCTTTACCCCACAGTCTTACCTTCATGTCAAAATTAATTTGGGGCAAGTTTGCAGAGCTGATTGCAGGCAGACTTGAACTTTATTCCCACCAGGAGCCAGCTGGGTGGAGGCCAGCTCCAGCCACGTTGCAGTGCTTGAGGTGATGAGCTGCACTTCTCAGCAGGTCCCACTGAACGCATCTGCAGGCAGGATCATGGCGTGGAGCTCAGAGGCGCGTTGTGCCTGCCCTGTTCAGAGTATCAGCAAGCAGACCACATGTCTGTCATTCCGTGGAAAGAAAGACCTTTATCTGACCACAGTCTCCCTCCCTTTGGAGGGAGACTCATTTAGTTATCCTCTCTACTTATCTGTACTCTTATCTGAACTCCTTTCTCATATCGTAACGTTTGCCTTTTGCTGGTATTTTTGGCTTACCATATAACACATTAGTGAAACCTTTTATGTTGAGTTATCATGTGCTTTCCTAATTAATACTTATGTTCTTTTTCAGCTTTTCTGCTTTTATCTCCAGAGACTTGGTGATGCAGGGAGGCTTAGACTAACTCTTAGTAGCATATGCATTAATTTGTCCTTTTTCCATGTTTAGTTGACTGGAGAGTGCTACTGTGGATACACTGGCCTGTCACTATGTTTTCTCTCTAAAGGTACTTGGACATTTAGTACCATCTCCACCCATACCTGCCATCTCCTTTCTCTCTCATTGTCCCTCGATTTACCTGCCCAAGAGATCTCCTCTGCCTGCTCTCTGAGCCTGCTGGCCCTCGTGCTGCTGCGCTTGTCTTTACATAAAAGTGCCAGTCTCATCACTTTCACTCCAAGTACTACACACTTGCAAAGTCTTGGTGAGGTATTCTCTAACGGAACAACATCTGTTTTATGTGTTTCCTCAAAAGTTTTTTCCTCAAAAGCTTTGGAAAGCAAAATTGTGCATTTTCACACTTTTCAGCATTGGTCTGAACTGAGTCCCTCTGTTAGAAGCAGGTCTTGCCATTGGGATGTGCCTCTTCACCCTTGAGAAAAGCCTTGGCCACCTCTGCCTCCTAGTGAGCTAAAGTGACATTTCCCAACGCTGAAAATCCTGACCCCTTACCTGTATTCTGTTTAGCCACCCACACTCCCTCCACCACTAATATGCAAGTCCCAGTAAACTTTTAATGAGTTATTGTAAGTAAATATTGAAATGAGTAATAGCAGATTTATCATTGATGGATATAATCTCTCTGTGAGCCTCCCAGAACTACTACTTGCAGTGTTGTTGCTGGCTGGGGGTAGCTTTTTATTTCTGTATGGAACAACAGAGTCCCTCTCTGACATCATAAACATATAGTCATGAATATATAGTATTTTTTTCATAGCCTGATGTGAAGTGAATGCCAAAAGCAGTTTTGAGATTGACTCAAAATCAGATGACAGAATTTATTTTTTAATTTCAGATGGGATTGGAGTATGTATAATTTGTCAAGAGAAATCTTAAGTCTGTATGAGGAGTGTTAATATGGAATTTGCAGCAAATATACTCACAACTGGAAAAATCTCTGTCTCTTTACTTCTAAAATGGCTCTTCTCCTGCACCTTTCTCCAGCCATTCCTCACCATAACTGCTACTTTCCCCTAAATAAAATCTGACCCCCAGCCAGTTTTTGCTCAGAGGCTGCCTGAGGAGATATGGCTTCTATGTATTTAGTAACCCTCACTGCACACTTTTTCAAGAAGCTCAGCTTGAACTTGTAAACAGAGGTTAAAGTTACTGTGAGCAGGAAAAAATTGTAGTTGTGCTTTTCTTCTTGGGCCTCTCCTGAGTTATGCTTCATGCCTCTAAGGAAGGACTGTTATCCCTTCATGTGTTTGAAAACTGTTTATGTAAATGATGGTGACTTTATACTTTATATGACTGACATACTGAAATTCCTTTTATACCTTAGTACTTCTCCAGGACTTGCCAAGTACTGCCGTTCATCATTTAGGAGTTCCTCTTCTTCCTTCCATTTGTGCTTATACTGGTCACTTTGATTCCAGTGGCACTGTGAAGGAATAGTTGAGAGAAGAATGAGTTCTTGCTGCACCCTCACAGGGAACAAAACAGCACAGACACATCTCAGCCTTTGAATTTAGCTTGTGATAGTTTCTTTTTCTACCCTTTAACTCATTGCGTTCTGCAATAAATAACAAGTTCTATATCGCTCCTATTAAAGTTGATGGGTCATTGTAACAATAGAGAGGGGTTTTTCGCAATATATTTTTAACCTGACAGTAGGTGTGAATGTCTTACCTACCCTTCAGGCCTCTTGGTCTCCAAATTAACATGAAAACAATTTTGAGGGAAGTGGGCAGCAAGAGAGGTTTTCATTTTTGCAGCTGGGAGGTCTTTGAGGAAAAACTAGTAAGAAACAGAGAATAAAGCACAAGTTTTTTCTAAGGAAGCACCTGTGTTTTGAAATACCACTCAGACCAGTCCACGTATTTAATGAGGTTAATTCAACTGCAGAAGAATATGTAATTCTCTGTGTGTCTGTATATATTTTTATATATATATATATGAGTGTTTTATGTATAAAATACTATAAACGTTTACATTTTAACAAGGAGTTACTCTTTTAAAAAATATTTGTGTGAAAAATGCCTATGTTGTCTTAGATTCTTAATTTTTTAGAAATGAATTATTTTAAGAATATATTTAACAGTTTTAATTAGCATAGTATTTAATTATTATTCCTTTTATTGGCTTTCCATTAAAAAATCAAATTTAAAATCACAATTGGTGAACAATTAGGAAAAAATAGACTTAAACAAATTAACTTTGATAACTTTGTGAAAACAGGTTGTATTTACTGGCATTTTTAAACATATAACTCCTAGGGAAGAGTATTAAATATTAATATATACTAAAGAAAACTCCAGAATCAAGAACTAGATGTACCCCATTCTGTCTTGTTGCCTTCTAAAACTGATTCTTCAGGACATGTGAGAGGTATGTTGCTAGGGAAGATGAAAAAGACAACCTCACTACCTAACCTTGTGGTTTTTGTTCCCTTAACTTTAAAAATAAAAAGAACACTTTGTTCTTCTTTTTCAATGCCATTCTGACACGAGTGCAATAAACAAGCATACAAAAGTAATCTTCTGTTTTGATGCCTATTTCAAAATCGTCAAGTTAACAATATAATAGATCTACCAAAGTGTAAACTGACTCTGAAAACCAGTGTCAATCCAAGGACTGTATAATGCTTGCATTGTCTAACATGAGTTCCCTACTTTTTTGTTTTGTCTATAGACACCCTATTTTTGGCCATCAAATTGTTGGGAGCCGGAAAACACAGACTATGGTCAGTGTAGAAATCTTTCCTATTTCTTTCGGGAATTATGTATTATATGAATGAACACATCATTGCAGTCTGTCTTGTTTAATCATCCCACTGTTAAAAACATAATTCTTTGTCATGTAATTCCTGTGCAAGAATTGCTGATATTGAAATGAATGTGCTGTTACCATTTTAAAGTTTACTAAAAGTTTATTAAGTCTGATTTGGAGTTGATCTGAGGGGAAAAGAAAAAAAAATCCTCAAAACTCGTCAAAACATCTCTTGCCATTTACATCTTCTGTTTGCTCCAGGAAGTGTAATTATTTATAGTGATGAAGTCTCGGTGAAGCAGAGAACACTTTATTGATGATTGTGTGATAGTTATTCTCAGATTCAGACCCCCAAAATGTGTCTAGTTTAGATATTTTATTTCTGATATGCACCCTGTGGAAAATTTATTTGCCTGTTTCTTGAGGTTTTATTCATAAATTACATGTTCTAATTACCGATGTGAGCTTAGACAGAAAAATAGAAGATAATATGAAGCAAAGAATAGAAGATAATATGTAGCAAAGTATTAAAAAAAATAACCAGAATTAGGTGCCTCTATATACCGAATAGTGACCTAATTTTTAAATGAAATGGATTATCTATGAGCAGTCTCCTGCTAATTCTAATCCACACTGTAAGTATTGCAGCTCATCTGCAGACCAGTTCACTTAGTTAATAGCGTTTATATGATAGCTTACCTTTGCAGAAGCTCAAGCTTTGAAAATCGGTTTATAGCTTTTTGGAAATTCAGGTGTGTGTTCGCTTGTAACATGAATTCAATCGCAGCCCTTGGTTTGGATAGTTCAATAGATGCTTTCTTCCTTTCTGCAAGAAGACACAATTTAATTTCAAATACATTGCTAAATAAAACAATTTCAGTCTGAGATTCTCAGCAGAGCTGAGTGCCTTCAAGGTAAAGTTTGAAAATGGTAACAGTTCCTTCATCCCTTAGGAGGAAAAAAATGTTCTTCTTTCTTTTAAATACTGAGATTTGAAGACATCCAGCAAATAGTTATTGAAAGCTACAAAGGAGGAGTAATCTGTACCACACCTGAATGATTAGCCACTCTGTATGAGGAAATCAGTCCTTGAAGGAGAAATGCTTGGTTTACCACTTAATTTTTTTTCCTTTCTTTGAAAGTGTTACATGCTTTTCTCAGAGGGACACTCCAGTATCGTTTCCTAATATGTTAAAGATCAGAAAGCATTTTACTATGGTTTTAAGAGATACTGAATTATTCAGCTGTAATATGTATTACATTACGAGGGGATTTTAATAAATAAATATATGCTTGAGAGGTTTGAACTTGAGATAAAGCTAAATTAGGAGAAAGGAACTTTTGTAGTCACAGCTGATATAAGAGTTGTCAAATATGCTCCAGGTGGTCAATTTAAGCTCTTCTGTTGCAGAGGGGTGAAGGAAGGGAAAGCTCCAACCCTGCCGTCTCATGAGCCAAAGGGGCAAGCCTGTAAGACATCTGCCTGCAGCTCCTCCATGCAGCAGGGTCAGAGCATTGCAATAGATCTACCTAAGGTGCCTGTGTATTGCCAGAATTGGCTAATGCTAGAGCTTTTGCAGGAAAATAAGATTTTAAGACAACCTTGCAATAGTGTTCTTATTAGGTTAGTGTCTTCTCAGTCCCAGAAGTTATCATTTGCCTTGTTTCCTGAGGATTTTTTTTCAATGCCATTCTATGAATGTAAAGAGAGGGCAGATGAGGGGACAACTGAGCACAGCTGATTGCAAAAAGAATCACATAACTGTTGTAAACAATGCTCAGCAGAAGAATACAGAAAAATCAGATAATATTCAAGAATCCAAAATAAATCTAAGGTAGGATTGAAAAAGTTCCATGTTATTAAAGGATAAATTCCACCTTAAATACACTCCAGAGAGGTTCTGTGGATTTTCACAGTAATTCTGCTACTTTCTAGAGAGTATAATAAATAGAATTTATTTTATTAAAGATATGCAAATGCATTTTGTACTTGACATGTATTATGATGATGTGCAGTGCTTCCATTTTCATGGACTTGTCCTGAACAAGCTTGAAACTGCACCTCTTAAAAATAATGACTGTGGCAGGCATTAGGAATCTCTCAAGGCTAGCAAGAAGTAGTCTTTCCCTGTAATCTTCCTTTTTCAAAGTTATTAACAAAGCAAACCACTTTCTTTGGCATTGACCTAATTTTACAAGTCTTTGAAAACACACTGCAATTTTATTTTAATTTAAAAATTACTCTCAGTCATTTACTCACCCATAGCTGGGCTACTGTCCAGAACGTAGCATACTGCCAAGAAAATAATTAATCTGAAACTATAAATTAAATGAGATTGAGATCCTGTGTGTGCTAGTTTATTACTAGAGCTAAGTCAGAAACAAATTATCTTTACTTCTTTCTGCAAAATAATAATATCTTCCCTAAAAAATAATTTCTTTTTCCATGTGGACTTGTAGTAGCAAATAGTTTCATTAAAAAGATTCATCTGAAGAAAATGCGAAGAAAAAAGACATGAAAATAGAATATTCCAAAATGTAAAGAAACTGCAGACCTGTTCTCATAATAAAGCTAAAGGGCAGTGCTGTGTCTTGGTGGCACAAAGAGGGCTTGGATTATTTTATTGTATGTCAAAGTGGAATTGTGTAGCTTTTTTTTTTTTATTGTAACTGTCAAAATTTTGGCCATCTCATCATTCTGCAGTTATTAAGAAAGTGTTACTTTTCAAAAAGTACTGAAAGTCTCTCTCTCCTTTTCTTAAAAATCATGCTCTAAGATGCCTCAGATTGCAAATAATTTTTTAAAAGGCAGGTTCTTAGATTCCATCTGTTGATGATACATGTTTTAATGCCATATGTCTTTGAGTCCACTCATACAGGACATGTTGTTCTGTGTAGAATCTGATTGGTTTCTGCAGGAATCTTGTTAATGAAAAAAATGTGTGTTATTTTTTTATTGGTATTGTTATTGCTATCATTACTATTATTATGTGACAATAATAACAACCATTTTCTTAAGGCCAGTGTAGTTCAAATCATCTTGTGTTTCCTGTGAGTTAAGTCATGTTATAACTGTAATTTGGTTTTGAATTATAATTTGAATTATAATTTGGTTTTGTGACAAATAGAATTGGATCTCAGTTCAGAAAACTGGCTCTGGAAATGATCGCAAGTAATGGCTGAGCGTACAACCTATTTCTAATTATCTTCTCTTTTTCTTTTTAAAACTGACAGATTTTTTCTTTTCTGGCAGATTAAAAATAGTTTGGGTCATTAAGAATTAATTACATATGGAGACTTTTGAAGTCCATTGCATCTTAGAAAGGGGGAATATGATGCCACATATGAAAATGTTATTCCATATGCATTTGGCTTCAGTTCTCATCAGGCCTGTTAGGTTCTCTTGGAGGTTTAGTGACTCACAGCTGTTACAAATCTGAGGAATTCAGTTCCTTACTGTTCTCTTTTTTTGAATGAGATAGTAAGAAATACAAAAGGTTAGGGAAAAATTCCATTAAAAATGAAACAGCCATTACTTTTGCATTTGAAAAGCTCAAACCCAAGCAAACGAATAAACATAGCTGTGACAATGTAAGGGAGTTACAAGAATTTGAGGCATGTAAGATATGAAGAATTAGTAACCTTTACTCATTTTCTCTAAATACTTTTGTTGATGATTAGACTCAAAAGTGTCTGTGACATACAGATCTTTTCTTACAGTTAACTGCTTATTAAAAAAAAGAAATATTTTCAAAGGTGAGAGTGAATAAAATGTTGAAAGTGCCACAGTCACTTAAGGAGGTTTGGACTGATACTAGAAGATGTTAGTCAACTGTGTCTATATAGTTGCTGTTTCACCCTTGAAATTTTGTGTTTGTATTTCTCCCAAATGAGTTAAAAATGAAGGAGGATTGCAGAATCTTGGTAGGTTAAGAAGAACACAGTAAATAACTAATAATGCAACGTGAGTTTAAGAGCACGTGACCATGTGATATGTAAATGATGGTAAATGAGATTTATTTTACATATATTCAAAGAAAATTCTTTAATTCTGCTGCTGTAAAGAAGGACAAATTTTGAAAATGTATGTATTTTCAGCAGGTGAAGTCAGGTGTTGTCAAGGCAATCTTGTAGGAAATTAAAACACTTACAGGGAAAAAAAAAAGCTTTAATTAATTACTCCCTTTAAAAATGTAAGCTCCCTTCCTGGACAAGTGTTACCTGTAAACTTCTGTGGCAGTTGTATAAATATGCATGATTCTCTTATCCAATCTGACAGTAAGTTAAGGAAACTACCTACTTTTGCTATGTGAAAGTTGTTGTTTCGTAGTTGTTTTTCCTCAGCATTTTTATGAAAGCAAAAGTCTGTCCTTTTTAAATTTTCTTAATAATTGGCTAACAAGTCAGTTAGTGCAAAGCTTCCTTCCTAACAATACCTTCTTGTAGTTCAGCCTCTGATGCTCAATTCTGAACAAGAGCCATCGCACCTGGCTCATCTGCCTCTCTGCCAAACTTGCAGCCATGCTAAAAAGTACATCGTTCACAAAAAGTAATTACAATCATAGAATCATTGAATCATTTAGTTTGGAAAAGACCTTTAAGATCATCATGTCCAACTGTTTTTATGTATTGTGTTTTCCACGGATTAAAAATTTCCATGTAACTTCCTCTCTATAGAGGTTATTGCTTACTTATGTGCCCAGCTTCAAATCCCACTATGAAAATTTGATTAGTTCAGAAATTTTCTCTCATTCAACTTGCTGCACCTCCCTCTGTGGAGTAGCTAGCTACAAAGAGAACTGTACAGAGGATGCATTATATACTTTCTTTTCACAAATGCTCAGGCAGGATTCCCTTGGCAACAGCTTATTAGTAAGCGATTTGTGTTTGAGAAATATTAAGCCCTATTGCTTACCTGAACTCTGCTGGAAAACTGCGTGTGCTCAGCATCTCCTGAAATCAATCCATAAGTAT